GTAAGAGGGACGAATGAGTATGATTAATGGAGAACAAACGTTAAGAGGCTTGGGTAATAAAATATAAGGCAAACTAGAGAAAATGGCAAAGCTAAAACTAGCCATAACGGTATCGTTGGCGAATTATAAATCAGAAGCTGAAGACAAATATTGTGAAGAAAATTGCAAGGATGAAACCTATAATGAGGCTTAGAGGATATGTAGAAATTAAAAGAATTAAAATAATAAAAAACTCTATAATAATAAAGTAAAGAGAAGTGATAGAGAAAGATAGATCAATAGAAAGGATCATAAACGTAGGTAGCTGAGCTAAGGATAAACATGAGAACAGAAAAAGAGGAAAGAAATTAATGAAGATGCGTAAACCAGTTAGATGATATTTATTTTTTACTGTAATAAGACTACAACGCTTTACTAATAACTGTTAATATATTCATATGGTCTTAGGGCCCAGGCCAGTAGAAGTCGGGTTTCCGTGAGCATAACTACGGCAGAGTTTAGTGTATCGCTCCGGCGAAATAGCCTTATCCTTCCAGCGTCGCAGTAACTCCGTCAGTGGGACCAAGCAATCGTCGTCAGATAAGTCTGTATACACTGTGTTACCAGATTTGGCTTGGCCGTTGCTGACTTGCAGACCCCAGTTTCGAGCCAGGGGTAGCATGGAGCCAAGATAGGCAACGCGTAGCCAGAGGTCCTCGGTCAAGGGAGAACTGACAGACGCTTCCTTCGAATGGGAGGTGGCAACAGCAGGATCGGAAGATTTCCTACGAGAGTATAATTCGAAGACTAAATCAGCGCAGAATGGAGGCCACTCCTCAGCTGAACAACTTAACGCTAGAAGCATCGGTAGAATAGTCGAATCATGTGTAGCGTATAGATGGAGCCTGGCCACACTGCAATTAAAAAGTATTGGCGAAGTAAAATGGCTAAAAATAAGCTAGGTTAATTGTAAGTAGCTATTTAGAAACGACTACGTTGATTATGTATATAATATGAACGAATGTGGGTGAGTGAACAATAAAGTAAATTAGTAAACGTCAGAAATAGATATAAATATATGATTTAAGTAAAATAAGAGACCTGAGGATCTATTAAGGGACCGATTTCAAGAAAAATCAGACCTAGCTCAAAGTAAATCTATAATGGTGATGTTTGAGAGGGAAAATACAGTTAACATTGAACTCAAAGCTAGCATCATATAAAGTAATAGCAAATAAATTGACCACTATTTCAGTTACCATGTAAATGATAAAAGCATTTAGTCAAACTAATTTTGAAGTTTCTTCCAAATACAACAATCGCTCATGCTAATTTAGTTCAGG